CAGATTTACATAGTATGTCCGTGTCTCTTACAGTGTGCTGCATAGTACTGGATTTTATTTGTGGTTGTTAGTGGTCAAAGGTTACAATAATAACTTACTGCCTATGTGTAGTATGTACTTTTGTTATTATTTTTCTTTAAACAAGTCTCTGAAGTGTTTGTGCTGCTGTAACAAGAGAATTTTCTCACTGTGGGATCAAAAAAGTCTATTCTATTCTATTCCTGTGAAAAGGCCACACAGTCAGGATTTTGAACCATCAACCTTCTTGCTGCAAGACCATTTGTAGTTCTCAGAGGGATTTTGTGCTCCCCCTTGTGTTTATGATGGGCTTTACTCTCTACAGGAGGCTGTTGGTGTATATGATTGCTTTTAACTTTGTTATATTTGGAGTTGTACACATATGTCTGTTTTTCAAGATCGTTTGGCTGTGGTGGCCATTTTCACTCAGTTGACTTGGAAAATGAAACAGTCGTTGACGCATGTCCAGTGTAGCGTGGACAATCTACATACTAGATTAACGCTGGTTGCTATCAGCTTTGTTAGATTCTGAAGAAAAGATCAGACACATTAGCATATGAACTTATACCATGCATGAATATCCAGGATATTTATACATGATATAAGTTCATACACCAACGAGCTTGGTCTATATCTAATCCAAAGATTAATCTTTTAAATTTAAGAAATGTAATTAATAGCAAAAGTGTATTTATTAAACAGAAGACTTAATGGAATCTTTGCTTATTCAGTAACCAAATATACACCTTTCTGTGTTTCATTTCAAAGAAGAGTCAGGTTTAAAAAGTTAAGAATTTATTACTAACAGTTTAAAGATGACAATTGAAATGACAATTTGTAACAGCTTTGATCTTAAAGCTTGGTATTAAAAGCAAACCTGTGTCTGAATGGAAACTAAAATGAAATGCGATGTTTGGATGCGTGGATGAATCTCAGAAGATTTCTTTCTTAGAGAGAGAAACGCGTTCTGGGTGGAAAAAGTTGTTTGCAGCTAACTACAAGTTGTTTCTTAGAGAGAACAGCATACAGACGCCATCTGTCAGAAGTGTCTACCTCACCCAGTCAGGAGACCCTCTGGTGGATCCGAGATGTCAGGTAGAGCTGATGACCTCCGAGCACGAGGTTGGTAGAAGGACCTTGGTGCGACCAAATCAGTCCCAGATGTCTCCGTGGGTCACAACGACTGATGAAACTAGTTGCGTCTCAAAATCTATAACTCTGAAGGAGTTTTGCATCAGCTGGTTGCAGGTGGCGTTTATTCAGAGCGATTCTATCGGCTTAGCAGAACAGCAGGTGGAGGCTTCAGGCGGCCAACCCTTATCCTCATGAGACTCTCGTCGCCACGAGAGTATCTGCTTGGTTCAAGAACTGAGGAGTTTTTAGTTTTAACAAAACCTCAGAACACGCCCTCTCAGCGTCAGAAAGCTTGTTGTAATGGAGCAAAGCCATGAGAGCAAGTTAACTTTACCCTGGTTCAGCCCCCTCTGCATGGTGTGTACACGTGCAAATGACCTTCTTCACACTGTTAAACATTACTGATTATCAAAGCAGACGATAGCTAGAGGGGGATACAAGCCCTACAGTTTTTATTCATCACATCTTCTCTTTGTCACTGCAGCAAACGCCCACCTTTAATCCCATTATTGAGCCCTCTCTCTGGTGAGTAACGGAGGGCAACAAAATTAATGGTTGTTTGTTTGTTTGAGGGGAGTGGAAACCTCCGGCTGCTCCAGAATTATAGATTCCCCTCATAAAAGACACGGGAATTCTTTCAGATGCTTTGTTGGATTTGTGTGTGCATGTGTGTAAGAAGTTAACAGCTTCTGTTTTGTGTGTTTGAAGCTGCAGCAGATTTCCAGACTGGAATGCAATTCATCTTTGAATAAGCCGCAGTGAGATAAATCTTCTGATTCTTGCCAACAGGATGCATGGTGACAAAGCTTCAGCCTTAGGACAATGGCTTTCTGAGGCAGATCGGCCATGCACTAGGTAAAAGACCTTGAAGGTTGCAGAGGGGTGTGTTCGCCTTTAAAACATGGTCTTCTAAACTGGTTCGTTTTTGTAATGCATCTTTCTTGCATTTGTCTTTTTCCTCTAATGAACCCCGATAATGTTGCTGTTTGCACAGAAAGAAACACTGATTCTGTGAGACAACACACAGAATTCAGTTATGCAGCTTTAATATTGATGCTATAAGGAATGACTTTCCCAGATACGCTGCCTGAGTCTTGGTGCTCGTCTCCAACAAGTGCTCACTGGCTTTCATCGACCGATTCCCATTGCCGTGCTTTGTTCCTTTCCCCGTGGCCAGAGGGGTGTGGCAGCGATCTGTGGAGGGGACCTGGGCAAGTCTACAGGAACATGTTTCCTCTGGATCAGCATGACTCAGTACATCTTTCTGCAGTGATGCAGCAAATTCTTTTAGCCAGAGATCAAAGTGAATTGCATTTAACAACTAGGCGTGAATGAATTTACAATCCAAGCAGCACGTTTAGCCTTTTGCATTCCCTTCCATCTGTCAGCATGAGCAGACATGAAAACTAATCTCAGCTCACTTTGGTTTTACTATAAATATAAATAATTACAAGAACTAAAGTTTTCAGTGTTAAAGAGTTTTTACCTGTTGTAAGAAGGATATTAGCTACCAGCACAGAAATATATAACAGCTGTTTTCAGACAAAGAGCGCCCCCTAGGACACCTACCTGCTGTTTCTGGTCAGCAGAGGGTTGTCCCATGTGAACTTGGTCAAGTTTCTACCAACACAATCACTGAACCCCACTTTTAAAGGAATTGGTTAAGTTGTTAAAAATTGGTTTGTGTCGCTGGTCGCTTGGGTCCTAATCTCCAGAACCATCCAGTAAGAGATTCTATAATAACTATTAATACCGTTGCATTTGTTGCAAAGGCGACGGTGGCACAGGAGCTAAGTGCTCGCCCCGTAATCGGAAGGTTGCAGGTTCGAGCCCTGCACAGTCTGTCGCTGTCGTTGTGTCCTTGTTGGGCAAGACACTTGACCCACTTTGCCTGCTGGTGGTGGTCGGAAAACTCGCCTCTGTCAGTGCGCCCCAGGGCAGCTGTGGCTACAGTGTAGCTCATCACCACCAGGGTGTGAATGGGTGAATTCTCTAATTTCCCTCTGGGATTAATTAAGTATATTTGGATTGAGTTGAGTTGAATTGAATGACTTATTGTGTTATGTAGCAACCCCAGATGTCTAGTATTTCATCAAAATGAACAGGAATTAACGTTTTAATTTGCAGACACAAACATCCCAGCTGTCTGGCCTCCAAACAAGACGCACTGCACAAGGCCTCGTCACCGGATACAGGAGACATGATCATTCCCAGCTACCTTATCGTGGCTGGAACAAAAGTCATGCAGGAGACGAGACTTTTGCACTCACTCTGAATAAAGTTCCTCTTCCTTGAATCATAAATGACATTTTAAAACATGATAATTGCACACGTGTCATATAATCATCCCTTGTTAAATGCCAGAGTGTGTGAATAACGTGTGCATTAATCAATGATGTGTTCATATGAACATTTGTCCTGCAATGATTCATTTCAGACCTTAAACTACACCAGATCAGTATTTGTTGATTTAACAAGCTAATGCATCAGTGTACTCATACATCATTAGACTCATATTAAGGTTTCAGCAATCACTTCACATAAACGTGTAAAAAACATTTCCACTTCACACTAAGAGCTAACCTCTCTGAGGATCTGAGGGAAGGCGTGATTTCTGAGGGATTTTGTTAACGCCCTTTAAACGTGTCGAAATCTGATTTGTCCAAGTTTATAAATAAAGTTGACAAAAACAGGAATCACTTCCGGATCTAGTTCGTCTTCCCCAGTTGGGTGAACACGCATTTTGAGACCATCCTATCTTCTGACATCAGGTCAAAGCCTCTCTGCAACTCTTGCGAGTGATTTCAGACACAACGGCTCTTTTCAGAGCCACCGGACCGCCTTAGATGCGAAATAGACTCTCCAGCTCCCTGCCGTCACCTGAAGATAACCCAGACTAGAAGGGTCGTATTCTGAGCTGGCTACGAGCTCCGGTACCAGAGGTCCACGCCATCTGCAGTGTCCACCTCGACCTCCTGACCCCCTGGATCGCTTGGGGATCTTCACACAAGGGTGCGTAGACCGGCACAAACTGCATCAGATGGTTTTATAAACAAACCTCTAGCTGATCAAACATACAGCCAAACTGATGTTACAACCCAGACTCCACAAACTCTCTCAGACACTTAGAAGGTTTTGCTAAAACATCTAGCTCACACTCCATCACTCCATTCATCATCTGTTATCCTTTACACCCCCCCCCCCCCCCCCCCCCCATGATGATATTTTTGGAAAATATCAAAAATACTTTAAAACTGGTGTCAGGTTAGCTACAAGCCAATTTGCACGATCAGAGATAGTCTCGATTTTTTAAAGCTGAGGCCACTCAAAGGTGCATCTGCAGCAGGTTTTTTCTTTCAGTTCTTTTGGTTAAAGGCTTCTTCTTGTCTGTCTGTCATGTTTATAAGCTGAATTTTGTCCTCCACCTTCATATCACACCACAGACAGGTTACTTCTGTGCTCTAGTTCTCCTCAACTGTTGTTAAACTGATTCACATGAACATCTTGTTCATTTGAACATCTTAGGTGTGTTCTTGCTGTGTCGTATCTCTAATTCCATGCTGTAGTTCTTTTTTAAAACAGAGCAGTTTTGTTTACCTGTTTTCCCGCTACGTTTCGTTTGCTGCTGCAAACTTCCTCAGGCTGACGCTGATGGTGGCGTCACTTCCTTCTCCGTTTATCGAGATAAGGAGACGTGGATGTGGGACCATGAACAGGGACGATGGAGTTTACGCGTTGGACCACGCATGGGACTGCATCGTCGGAGAGGGGAGAGCGGGCAGCAGAGGGTGACAACGTCCTCTGCTGCCCGCGGATAAACGGAGAAGGAAGTGATGCCACCATCAGCGTCAGCCTGAGGAAGTCTGCAGCCGCAAACGAAACGTAGCGGGAAAACAGGTAACAAAACTGTTCTGTTTTAAAAAAGAACTACAGCATGGAATCTGGTTCATTTTCTTGATTTCACCTTACAAACATCTAACCCATTGTTTTCAGCCTAACCCCTTCTTTCCACCGGAGCCGTCAGCAGCACGTCATAGCTGCTGATAGGAACCGCTGTGGTCAACAGAACCTTTTCCACTGGAGCCGTCAGCAGCGCGAGTCGGCCGCGTCTCAGGAGCAGCATGTCGCGGCCCTTACGCGCCGGTTCTATTTTCTACGCACGACGCCTCTGAAACGGGTCAGTTCGACATTTTTGGAGTAAGGTCTAGCTGCAGACGTAGCTCCGTCCAAACACGCCCCGACAAAACACGCGTGCATGTACGAAGACGAGAACTCGCATGTGTGTTGCAACAGATGGAAATGACAGTTCAGGTAAAGACAGATTTATATTTTTACAACTTGCGAAGATTTTGTACTAGAAATTTGAACGTTTAAGACATAGTTTGATAGATAGCGCATTCGTGATTTTTTTTCTGAAACACTTTTATATAAAATTAAGCATTATTGGCAGTGGGGGAAGACGTCATGGATGCAAATTTCTTAATATAATTTTTAATGGAAGCCTTTTGGCCAAAATAAACGTAACAATAGGCTATTTATTTGACCGTTTATGACTCCTCATCTAATAAGCAGCAAACTCACGAAGGCAATGTGGTAGCCCGGAGGTATTCTACAAACACAAGAACAGTGCTAATGCCTATATGTATTGTTTTCACATTGTTTATGACAGCCTCTAGGTATGAATGTCATTTTTACTAATTGCTATTTATCTTTGTCTCATTAGTGAGAGGCAGCTGATGTCCTATGCCATGGAAAAAAACATGAGCAAGGAGGCTAAACAGAAACTGCTCATGTACACTGAGAAACTCAGAAAAGCTCTGGACTGGTCTGAATTTGTGAAGAGGCTGTAGCATTGTGTGGACATTTTTATTATTATTATTTTGGAAGGTTTTTGTAAGGCCAATAAAAGTTGTTGATGGTTGTTTCATTTGTCTGAACTTTTTTTTCTAAAGCCAAACTTTTCTGCTTTTGTGTTTACAGAATATTCTTTACAGATTAGTGTATGGTCAATATCAGTTTACTAGTCTTGTGAATCGTATACTTAATGCAAAATATTTTAGTAATTTCTAAATCAATACATTTTGTGTCAAAGGGCCAGCAATTATTCCTGTTAACAGAATATATGAAATGCATGTATACACACATGTAAATATGCCTACAAATTACACATCAGCAGCTTTTCACTGTAAAGAAGCAATAAAAAATCATAAATAGTAACATAAATATTAACTACTCACTTTTATGAACTTAGACCTACTGTTAGTGCCTGTAATAACAAATGGTTGAAAGTTAAATGTTGCTGTAGGAGGCGTGCTCCCACATAAATGGAGGCTAGTGGGCTTAAGGGGTTAATTAAAATGATTACCACTAATTACTTTTTCTGATATTTAATTTTATTGCATTTAAAATAAACACTTGCACATACATGATTACTCACCTGCTAACTTAAAGAGCAAGTAACGTCTAAATTCACTTTTTTTTGCTGATGAACTGTATAAATGAGTGTCTAATAGTGTTTTAAATGTGTGCATTCTTTATTTTAGCATTTTGGTGCATTTTCTTTAAAAATTAAAAATTCTGTCTAAAAACCACAGTAATGCGCCACCTTCAGCTGAAAACATAGAATTTGAGTCATTTTGAATAAATTTTAGCCAATGGCTAAAGAGTAAAGTACTACGTAAACCAGTAGTATAAAAGCAACGAGCGTCTCGGCCACGCCCTGTGGCGAGTGGGAGTTGGATTTGCAAGTGAGTGTAGGAGGTCAGCGTAGTTCAGCATTAGCATATAGCATTAGCATATCCTAGTCTTAGCATATCTTTTAGTGTTATAAATACTTATTTAGTGTTAGATTTGGCTGTTTGATATTGTAGTTTAGTTAGTGTTTGGCTGTTAGTGTAATTGGGAAAGTATTTCGGGTTTAGTGCTCCATATCGTGTTAGTATTGGTGAATAGGTGTAGTGTAGTATGCTTGCGGTGACTCTGTGGGCATTTTACCCACGATTCTGCACGTCTCCGTTTGAAGAGGGAGGCTGCCCACCGTGGCTCTTCCGCGATTTAGATGCAGCCCACCGACTCTGCTCCCCCACCACGGTGGGCTCCAGTCTGAGGTGAGTAAGCTAAATAAACGTTTTAACATCTTCTAAAGACAATTCCCTACCTAAATGCAAAGTTTGAGAGACGTGGTTCACTTCCTTTAGCTAGTCAGTTGGCAATTCTGCAACAGTGTCTCTAACTAACGCTGCACTAGTTGACAGACAGCATTACAGCGTGAAATCCAGCTTGTGAACAGGTTCTGTGAGGAATTCTGTTCAGGAGGTCGCATTTCAGGCTCTCCACATCATGTGTGACTGACTTTTACGTTATAATGATCACACACTAGGAATGTTATAAAGCGCCTATATGGGACAGTTTCTTTTGTATATTATCTGACTTTATAAACTCTCAACAACAATGTGCTTATATATTTTTTTCAGGCTAAATCTACCCAAGACACTGGCTGTCAGACTGATTTAGCTGCAAGAATGCACTTGTCCAGGCTGACGTGAAACCTTCCCTGTAGCAAAGGTGAATTATTTTTAATAATCTTCTATGTAAACATTTTATTATTACCTTCTAGTTTTAATTTGTTTTACAGATTATTGTTACACGTGATTTTATGCTCTTTTAAACATTTATAAATGTGCTGCTTCTTTGTTTTTACATAGCCAGCCAGAATGGAGTTCACAGCCGCAGTGTGTCTGGTGACCCACAGGGACCATGATGAAAATTCATCTTCCAGAAGGTCCCAGAGCAGCGGCCACACCCCCTGAAAAGACCAAGGTGTGAGGTGTCTGCTGTTGATTCCAGCTTCCACCTCAGTGACAGTGCAAGCTCAGTGAACTGTTCAAGGTAAAAAAAAAATTAAAACATTTCAGAATTTTTAAGATATTAACAATTAAATAAGTATGTGATTACATCATGACGGAGGCTACTGATTCTGCCCCCGTGACACTTGGTGGTGACTTGTGAGCTGATTCACCTGGAAAACAACTTTTACATAAAATATTTTGTTTTTGCTATTAAAAGTAAATTAACTAATAACCTGCATTATTGCAGGACACTCAGCAAAATATGGACTCTACACCATGAGGCAGGCACACGTTAATAACTCTATAAGAGCACATAAGGTGAGCAACACCACATATTGTACACTGTCCTGAATTTGTTTTCTTTCTGCATCTCATTAGCCTGGCTGATCACCTGATAACTCCTGTCATCTGGTTATGACAGCATGAGGATGTCCTCACACACCTGTAACCTATCAGCTCATCTGGCAGAATAGAGAGAGAAGAGACAACACCACATCTCCTGTTCCTGGAAAGCCTTCAGCCATCCTTCGATGACTGAGAACCTCCATCAGCTCTGTCTCCTGTCTGCCTACAATTATTATAATAAATATTGTGTTTGACAAGTTTTTTTGTGCTGCCAAATATCTCATATAGATTCCAGTTTTGATATTTTAATGGATATTTATAAATTACATTAATTGAATTATCACAATGCATGTTTAACTAGCTCTATTGTGATGAATTAAACTAGCACCTCACTGTTAAAAGCTCGTTTTAATTTCAAGCATGTTTAAGTATTTATGGACATGAACAAAAACAGGAAATATATAAATTGAGATTTATTTAATTAATATAACAAATAAGGAGGAAAGAGTCATTGAAAGGCACATTCTTCTGGAAGCTCCTGATCCTGATGGCACCAGCAGAGGAGACCACCTGCAGACACCAGAGACCAGCTGCAGACACCAGAGGACCTAGAACCAAGAGAGCAGCTGTTATCAGTAAATAAATAAATAAATCAGGGCAGTTTTAGTGAGCTGAACACATTACAGAATAATTTTCTCATGGGGTATTTTCATAACTTTATGCAGCAGACTGTAACTTGAGCCCAGAGCTACCGGAGAGCTGCTATCCAGCACGTTTCAGTGGATTTTCCTGCTTTAACAGGTTAGATTAGCTGTTAAGCAGCTCAGCTATTTGTTGCTGATTAAAACCTGGTGTGCTGAAGCAGATAAACCTCTAAAACATGCTGAATACTAGCTCTCCAGGGCCGTGGAGACAAACCCTGCAGCTAATCCAATGCTATGGCTAACGGCTACTTACGTTCAGAGGTGGTTCTGTTGGGTCGGTTCTGGGAGTTACAGGCAACTCACAAGCTCACAACAATAAGGCTCAGGTCCGCTTGTCTCCTCCAAATAGACTTGGTCCCTTTCTTCTCGAGTGGGTAAGGAGGGGGAGAAACATCCTCCACTTCTAATAACTGCATAGAGTGAAGGGAGCTAGCATCGTCTAGTTAGCCGTCGTCTTCGTCACTGCCGCGGCTCCACCCTCTCGGTCCTCCAGGCAACGCCTACTAATGTTGCATTTTTTAAAATTGATACGTGGGAAGAGAAGGACTCCGAGGCTCAATTGACCCGCTCTTTAAGTAAGCATAGGTATGTTGTGCCTACTGTCCGGCAACTGATTATTTGTTGGTGGTATCTGTGTTTTATAATGTCACTGGGGATGCCATAAAGTGTGTATGCAAGAAACAAAAATCCATACATTCATATTTAAACCTGGAGTCCTGTCTGTTTAATTACATTATTACTATTTCTTATAAACGTATTCTTTCAATTGTGTGGAGCTGCTGGAGCTGACAGCGGGATGCTCCCCGCCCGCTGGGAGGGCCGCCGTTATTGAGCTCGGGGGTAGCTCAACAGGCACATGGGGGCGTGTTTGGAGGGGGCTGCGTCTGCAGCTAGGGTTTTTTTTTTAACTTTAAACAATGAGTATACAACATAGAAACGAATGAAGGATACAAAACAACAGAATATGAACACACAAAGCCAGGGGTAAAAGAAAAAAGTTACAATTATAAGAATACACGTAAAAATTCACATATGTATATTGTTTTGAAAGCCTTTTTGTTGGTGGATTCTGATATTGATTTTATGTACAATTCCACATCCTTAAAAAATGACAGAAATATGGTGTTTTGTTGGTAAACTTACATTTGTGAATAAAGAATTTAGCTAAGAGTATTAACAGATTCATAATAAAAAACATTTATCATTCTTCATGGGGAACTTAAAGAAACAGAATAAAACATTTTCCCATCGTAAAGAAAACTCCCTTAAAATATGGACAGTAACAAACCTGCTAAATTCCTTCCAGAATCTTTGTGTAAAAGAACAGCACCAAAAAAGATGTGTCACAGTTTCTGGATGATGCCCACAGAAAGTACAATTAGTATTTATGTCCCTTTTAAATTTTACCATGAAATGACTGCTTGGATAACATTTATGTAGAAGTTTAAATGAGACTTCTTTCACCTTATTTACAATGAAATATTTCTGGGGGATCATCCAGACTGTCTTCCACTTGATATCTGGAACACATCGGTTCCAATGAGATATTATATACGGGAGAGAGACGGTATCTTCCTGGAATAAACTACGTATTCTCTTATCGCTGTTACCAAGTTCTAGAGAAAAGCAGATTTTTCCTATTGGTGACTCAACTGGATCAGGGAGAGTGACTGAGGTAGATATTGAGCTGTCAGTGTTTTTATATAACATTAAAGTCCCTGAGGGTATGGCTCCAAGCACCATTGAGAATTCCTGAACACTGACTGGGAAATTATATAGGGCAATAAAGTCGTTGTAAGTAAGTAGTTGTCCCTCTTTTTTAACCAGCTGAGCCACCAATAGGATCCCATTCTGGACCCAAGTTTCCAGGAAAAGTGATTTATTTTTAAATAAAATATCTCTGTTGTTCCAGATAAGATATTTGTGAGGTGAGAAGTTGTGTTTATAAATGAGGGTCCACGCTAAGAGGACTTGCTTTGTCATGTTGTGGTGAAGAAATCTAACCCACGACATACAGAATCAGATCTGAGACGGTGTAAAATGTTTAAGAATTTATTGAAGGGAAACCAAGGAAGCAGCATAAACGTAGCCGAGTTCTTGCACAGGGAAGCTGGTGCGGGAAAACTGGACAGATCGGAGTTAGATCCAATTTGCGGAAGGAACAGGGAATCAGACTTGTGTGGAGGACTTACGGTCTGGAGAGGTGGGAACTGGTTTGAGGGAGGAGTGGTCCGGTCTGGGTAGAGAGGCTTAGCAGGGACTGAGATCCAGAAGTGAGACGTGGAGGGAGCTGAGCTTGGGGAGGTCCAGGAAGTTTAGGTGGGCAGCTGGAGGTGGTTCTGGCCAGAGGAGAGGCTGAGAGACGAGCGAAGTTGGAGATCCAGATGGTGTGGGCTCCAGAGTTCTGCCAGTCTAAGATGAGTGTGTGGGTTTGTCTGCGAACAAAAGCAGGAGGTCAAAAAGGCAAAAATCCAAAATCCAAAAGCACATCAAATCTCAAAAATCCAAAATCCAAAAACAAATCTAATTCTCAAGAGGTTACAGAGCTCGAATAAGTTTCACAAGTGGCTGTTAGAAGGTACCCAGGTAGAGTAATCATCCAGCGAAGTGTAGGAGTCTCCCAGCTGCTTAAATACCCCTGGCCAGCTGATGAGCAGATCTGCTGCAGCTTGGTCACCTCCAGACACGCCCACCTGCAGAGGGAAAACTCAAAAGACAGGGAGTGACAGCAGGGAAATACCTCAGACCATGACATGCTTATGGAAGGATGAAAGTTTTATAGGGATTTTCTCAACATTGTAATTACAATTTAAAATAAAATTAAAGCCACCAAAACGAGAGAAAATATGATATGGTTTAAGGTTCCAGATAGAGGTGGGTTTTTAAGAAAATGTTTAGCCCAATTAATTTTGAAAGTGTTATTTAAAGTAGAAAGTCTAGGACGTTAAGCCCACCTGATTCGTACTTATTCATCACAACAGATTTCCTAATATAATGCGTACGGGTTTTCCATATAAAATTAAAGAGCATACGGTCAATATCTTTACCAATTTCCTTATCCAGATGTAAAGAGAGAGCAGCATATGTTAATCGGGATAACCCTTCAGCTTTAGTAATTAAAACTCTACCTTTCAAAGACAAGTCCCTCTGCAGCCACTGGTTGAACTTTTTTAGGGTTTTCTGTATAATTGGAGTGAAGTTTAAAGAGCATCTTGATTTTTGATCTTTGGATATTAACAGTCCCAGGTATGTGACTTCCTGTTTAACAGAAATATTACAGACAGTATTTGCAGGGCAGTCTTTAATTGCTAGCAACTCACACTTTTTTAGATTTAGGCATAAACCAGAGGCCTCAGAGAAGTCACTAATCACACTGAGAGCTACAGGGATTTTGTTTGCATTTTTTAAGAAGTGTGGTGTCATCGGCTAACTGGCTAATCACGA